TGAATGTCTACGTAAGAATCGCCAGATACAACAATTTCACCTTCATCTCATTAAGCTTTGTTCTAAGAACAACTGGCCGAGCATCTAATTCAAATAGAGATCCCAATTTATGTAGAGACATGGAAGGGGCAATAGGCAGTGGAAATTTCTGTTTCCAAAAGATGATCCGGTCGAGCCAGCTTCCTCATAGACATGAGTATGTCTGCTTCCCTCTATGACCTCTGGGAATTCATAACTAGCACCATTACAAACTAATTCCTCCTCTTCCAATGCATCTTTAATGTTTCCTTGTAGAACAACAACACCGCTTAAATCTTCATCTTCAATGTATCTTATTTCTCCCCTTCCTTTGAGCTAGCATCAGAATTTTCTCCATCTTCATCATCAAATTCTATATAATATGACCTTGTGGTCTTCCCCTTTTTCTCTCTGTTTTGCTAGGGGATGAACTAGTATTATCTAACTGGACTCCAAGTCATCAATACTGCCTAATATGTTCTTTTGATGGCCTCGTATATAGTTTTGCAATAAAAGCATTTAGTTCCTTAGAGCCAGCCCGTAACCACAATGGAATCTAATTGTGCTTTGTCATCTCTCCTGCCCAATCAGGCTCCTCATCCATTTGATTAAATAGCTCAACTTCTTCACTACGAGCTATCATACGATTTACCTCCAAGAGGGATGGAACATCATGGAATGTTTCTTGATATCTTTCTTCTTCATGCAACATTTTCTCGAAAGTCATTCTCCTTTCTTCATTTGTTGTTTTTTCTCTGATCAAAACGACCAGCATTTATAACCATATTTGCCCTGTCACTTCTATACTATTGAATGTTATTCTGTATTAGGCTTTCAATTGAACCCATGCATTGATGTTTACCAGCAAGTTCACCTTCGGAATCTCCACTTCCACCATTTCTTAACTAATCGTCTTTTTGATAGCTTGAGATCGTTTAAACAACTATTTCCATATATATAACTTTGACCTCCCTCTTTTGGCCAATGCGACGAGCTCTAGCTACTGCTTGCTCTTCATTCTGAGGATTTGGATCCGGATCATAAATAATAATTGTGTCAAAAGTTTGGAGATTCAAACCTCTTCCTGCAACACGAATGTTGACCAAGAAGATAAAACTGTCAGAAACAGGGCTATTAAAATCAATAATAGTTTATTCGTGATCTTCTAAGCTATTAATTTCATCAATTTTTCTATAGACAAGTCGATGCCATTGTAAATATTCCTTTATAAAATATCAATGAGTTTGTCATGGTACGAAAAAGAAGAACACGATGCCCTGTTTTATGTAGTTTTAGGAGAATCCTATCAAATATCCATAGTTTCCCACATGACCTAATAAGAAACTCTTTTGAATAATCTTTGAAATAAGGGTAGTTAAGCAGAGGATGATTGCAGGCTTTTCGCAACTCCATGCATTTGTTATTGTGATTCTTATACATCTTAATCTGGTAGTTTGGATTCTTCTCAGCCTTTTGTAACTCATCATCAGGGTCTACCCTGATGGTGCCAGTTGATTTAATCCAATCATATATGGCACCCTATAAAGCTGACATTCTACACCTCAAAACAATTGAGACCTTGGAAGGAAGTGACCCTTCCACATCTTCAACACACCGCCTAAGCATGAAAAGTTCTAGAATTTGATGAAACCTGTGGGTGAAAATCACCTTCTTTTCAGTTTCAAGCCAATCCTCCTCCTCTTAGCTATATGATGGGTCATCTTTCTGAACCCACCTTAGTTGACTAAGGGCTTTATGCCTATTGACTATACCCTATGATCCATCACTCAAGGGTTTGACATCGTTAGGGAACATATGGGCTTTGGCCGTGATTGTAATATAATGATGCTAATTTGTGGCAAAATCACCTGATCAGAGGGCACGTGCCACGTCCCTGCTAGCAAGAGACTATTTGAGGATGAATCGTAGTAATACACCCGACACAATTTTTGCCCTTTGTGAGCTGAAGTTAATTTTCAAATTTATCACCCCCGACAAATGGTTGCGGGAGGTAGATGTGTCTTAGTTTTAAGTTTTTAGATGAGATATTTCATTTTAAGGATTAGACTTTTGTTGGATTTCAGATTTGACTCATCCGGTTGAGATTTCCGATCAATACGGCCATTATCGAGATGATGTTAAGGTCACTTGTATTTTCATAGGAGTTTGAGAGGCATTTTTGTACTTCAAGTCATGTCAACTCCAGTCCTTTCGAGGAGGATGAAACTTGAATACTTGACCCGTGCAGCATTCTCGGACATTAGCGTTTGGGAATTTATCACATTTGTCGGAGCACATGCTTATTGTGTTTAGTTCGAAAATAGAATGTTCTATTAACGAACATTAGACCCTGCATAGCATTCTTGAGTATTTGTGTTTGTAACTTTAACATACTTATCGGAGCACATGCAGTGTGATAGCATTTGACCTTGCGCAGCATTTTCGAACATTGGTGTTTAAAAATTTATTACATTTGTCGGAGCACATGCAGGGTATGTTGCACTTCAGTTTAGGACCGTATTTAATACATAAAGGAGAATTTTAAAATATTTAAAATAATCCATTGTGTTAGCGATTTAATTTAGCTATACCCAAGATTTCATTTAAAGGCCTACAAACACCTTATGTCCAATTGCACACATGTATTTTGTGAAACCAGTGGTGTTATATGTTGTTTGCTGCTTCTTACAGATGAGTTGTTTAGTGGTTTGGAGAGCTACTATGTTAGAGAGCTATTTTGCAAAGTTCGTGTTTGAGAGCTACTGAATAGATTGTACTTAGATTGACTGGATGGTGAAAAAATATTGATTTGATACTCTTATGATTTTATGTTTTATTTTGATTTAGTTAATTGTATTAATTAATTAAGTTGATTAATTAAAATGTTGAATTTTAATTAAGCTTTAATTTGTTCAAATTATTAGTTTAGATTTTAAGTGTGTTTTAAAATTACATATATGTTAAGATTTGGTTTGCTTAATTCGTTTAAATTTATTTTGAGATTGCTTGATCAATTATTTATTTTAAAGATTTTAATTTGATTTACATTTATATTCAATTGAATCTTAAGATTCTAATTTTAACTCAAGTCAGATTTTAAATTATTTAATTTAACAATTTTATTAAAGTTGAAGTTTTACTTTTGGATTATAATTTTAATCAAATTTTAAAATTGTTAAAGTTTTAATTTAACAGTCTCACTTCCGTTCTTTGAATTAGTTAGATTAATTATTTAGTTAATTAATGGGTTCATTATTAAATCCAATGAGATTTCACATTAATTAGTTTAATAAAGTTAATGGTTCAATTATTTAGTTTAGGTTAATTAATTAATTACTTAATTATTTGAGATTCCTCAGCTTAATCGATTGAAGAGTTTCAGTTAACATTTATCATTAATTAACTTGGAATTAATTGGTAAATTAATCTTTTAAATTATCTGCCCATTTAAATTGATTACCAAGGTAGGTTATTTAATTGTTCAATTATTGAATTTAGAATTTAAAAGTTTATTATTTAGTTGAATTTAGAATTTAGAATTTAATCAATTGAATTTAAAATTAGGTGTTTGATTATAAGTTAGGTCAATTTAATTAATTTTAAATTGGATCCGTGTTTTTTCAAAAAAAATCCACTAAGTCTAGAATTTTTGAGAAAATTTTGATAGCCTCCCGGCGTCCCCTCCTAGGCACCGAGAGGTAAGGAGGGCAGGGTTTCGGGACGTTGTCGGGTCCCGGAATTGGTCTTTGAAAGCTTCAATTGACGATGATTGGTTGTGGTGCTTGTTATATATATAAATTTAAATTTGATTTTAAAAAATATTATTTATTTCCCCAAAAAATCTGGCAACTTTTCTGCGTCCCCTCCCCGGTACCGGGAGGTAAGGAGGGCACTTGCCCTTTTAGCTCGACTCGACCGGAGCGAATCAACTGCGAGGAAATTGGGAGAGCGATTGAGTCTTTAAGTCTTCAATCCCTCTGTCGATAAAATCGAGGATCGAGGGCTTCGGGGGACCGATTCAAACCTGGAGGCTTCCTTCAAAATCTTCACCTGCTTGCAAATTCTCCATCTCTTATTATTATTATTATTATTAATAAGAGATCGAGGGCTTCGGGGGACCGAATCAAACCCCGAGGCTTCCTTCAAAATCTTCATCTGCTTGCAAATTCTCCATCTCTTATTATTCGGTAGAAGGAAGTCAAAACCAGAGAGAAAGCAGGTATGTAGCCTTTGATATTTGCCTGCAACCGAGGGAGATGGGAGAAAAAACAAAGAAATTGTTTTTTGTTCCTTCTTCTCTTTAGGTTCTGAGCATGTGAGAGTGAATGAGAGAAGGTTTCATTGTTTTGTGCGGCAGAGGAGTGGTTTCTTGCGATCGTGGGAGCGACGTGTAGAATCGTGGGGTGATTGGGTCGTGGGGTTTTGTCGGCTGATAGTTATAGTCAACAACAATATATGCAAGAAGAAGGGTTTTTGTGTGAGATAATCTCTATGCTACGAGATTCTTGTTATGTGAGGTAATATTTGTGTTGCAAAATTTTTAGATTCTTCTTTTTTGTTCATGTGTGCTTGGGATTTTAGGAACGGGCTTGGTGAGTGTCCTTGGATTGTATATTGTAATTGTGGCTTCTATTTTATATTAGTGGATCTAGTCCTCTCTCCTCTCATTGTAGGCTTGGTTGAAGTCAAATTACATAAATATTGATATCTGTAATGGTGTATTCTCTCTCTCTCTCTCTCCCTCTCTCTTGTTTTACTCGGGGTGCATCACTTTAGATTATGGTAATGCTTCCACATTTTTGTTTTTTTTTTTGCGAAGAATGCTTTATGTCTACTTAAAGCTCTAGATATAAAATATATTTACAATTTCCAAGGTTCATAATCTTATGCATGTGTGCCAGTAGCGTTTCTTTTCCTAATATTTGCTTGTTTTGAACCTTGATTTTCCTGATATTTACTGTTTTCTCTTGAACTTCCTGCAGACTTCTCTGACTGCAGCCGGTTGTTATCTTTGTGCAGCTCCTGGGTCTAAAGGCAAAAAAATCATTGTCTGCTATTCTCCTGAATCCCCACTTTCTTCAAATCTGCTTTTATCTAGCTTTTATTGTGAAGAAGGCGCTTCTTTTTCTTCTGTGATAGAGCAGATTGTTAAAGATGCCAAGTTTTATTCTAATAGGTTTGTCGCAGAAAGCCCTAGTATGCCCTTTTTGCGTGCTAAATCTTCTGAAGCCATACTAAGAGAAGCAGTACAGATCAAGCTTATCAGTCAATCAACATATAACACCATTCGCTCATTGCAAATGGAAGAACATGACATTTTTTGTTCACAAAATGGTGTTGATGAGGCAAATGAGTTAGGGCATCGAGCTAGAGCTTCTAGTCCATCAAATGTACAGATTTATCCTGGCCAGTCATACCATTTTATGTGTAGATTCTTATTAACCTGGAAGCTTTATGAAATGAAAGATGGCATTTCTTCTAACTTGAACGAATACAATCCCATATCAGAAGCAGATGGGAAAAATTTGTGTCAGTGTTGTAGAATTACTCAGGAACATGGTCTTATAATACGCCATATGGTCGATGCGGATTGGTTATATCTTGCAAAGCTTTCCGAAAGCCAAACACTGAATGAAGGCAGAAATGAATTGGAAACTTCAAATTTTGAAACGGGACATCATTTAGCAATGGAACATTGGTGCTCCAGTTACCTGAGATCTTCAGTTCAAACAGCTCTTCAAAAGCTGAAATATGTTCCAGCAGCTGCAAGAAGGGCACTTCCTGTGTTAGTCAATTCTCATAATTTACCCATATGCATACCGGTACACTCCACTATTATTTTACCGCTGGAAGCCTGCCATAGTGATATACCAATTAATAATTGCATGAATCCATAGTGATATAACAATGTCTTGTATATGAATTTTCACATGTATATATTTATTCATGTTTCGATTTTACTCTATTTTTTGTTATTAATGTATATCCATGTGAATATTCAAGTTGGATGGTTGAAGTGGAGGAATACATTGGGCTTGTTGTGTGATAGAAAAATTCCCCTCAAACTTGAGGGAAAATTCTATAAGATGGTGGTGAGACCTGCAATGCTTTGTGGTGCCGAATGTTGGCCATTTAAAGAGAAGCATAATACTAAGTTTAGTGTTGCAGAGATGAGGATGCTCAGGTGGATGAGCGGCTTTACCCTTAGAGATAGGATACGAAATGAGGATATACATGAAAAGGTTGGAGTAGCTCCAGTGGAAGATAAGATTAGAGAGAGTTGCCTTAGATGGTTTGGTCTCATAAAATGGCACCCTTCCGATGACCCAGTTAGAAAAGTATAGGTATTAGATTTGACTCATGTTAAGAAAGATAAAGGTAGACCTAAAAAAAACTTGGTTAGAAAGTATTAGAAATGATCTTTCTTTATTAGATTTAAACGAGAAAATGACTTTGAACAGGACACAATGAAGAAAAATGATTCATGTAGCCGACCCCACATAGTGGGACAAAGGCTTGTTGTTGTTGTAATGTATATCCATCCCACCTAAGCTCAATAACCAGTATTTATATATATGATACTCATCTATTAGGTTATAATTATCAAACTTCTGATCGCAATCTAAAGTTTTTGCTCTGGCATTGATGTTTTCTAGATTTATGTTTTTTTAGTTTTTTTTAGTTTTTTAAACGTAGACATATAAGCTGTCAATATCCTTCAATTTGCATGTTCATTTAGGTTTATATATGCGAAATCATCTGGCTATTGGAAGGTGACTTTTTTTTCTTTAAATTCCTTTCAGAGTATTGGCTTCAGCTGTTGTCCTTTTCTTTCAATAGAAGCTGAATTCAGACCGAGAGTACCACTTGGAGGAGGTTACAGATCTTTTCTATGATTTTGTATGCGACAATCCTTATGCTGAATGAAAATGGTTGGTTGCACCTACGCGAATATCATTATAAATATATCAATTTGATTTCATTTGAGAGTACAGCTAAAGCTTTTGCCTGATGTTTTTGCAGTTTGTTGGAGACAAAGGTTGATTCATTGTAGAGTTTTCCAAGTGAAGAATGAATTATTGAAAGCTGAGTAAGGCTTTATTGGGGATAGCTTTCTTACTGCTTTCTAAAGCAGTTTTTTAGTATAAAAATTTTTTAAATTAAATTTTTTTAACTTAAAAGTTATTCTAAAAAGCACTAAAAAAGCTGTCCCAAACGAACTTAAGTTTCTACTTTTTGGTGTATGTTATATCACCAAAAAGTGTGTAACTCAGTGTACAAAGCTCCTGCAATGTAGCATTTTCGTTTTTATTTTTAGAGTTTTATGCTGTACTTCATTTTGAGTGATATATTATTTGGTGAGGATTTCTCATATGATGTGGACTTTATGTATCACAAGAGCTAAATCAACACAATTCTCTTTTCCTTTTTTGACCGTTGAACCTCCCTCCTTTCTTCATTAAAGCCGCAGGTACTCTCATTTCTACCGCCCAGGAAATACTACAAAATAAGGTAGATTTAGGTGCCTTTTTGGAGCTTACAAGTATCTCTTAAAATGCTCTACTATAATTATGTTGTTCTCAGCTTTCCAAGCTTTGATCAGCCATATGCCTATTGTAACTAATGGCTTATATAATGGTTATTGGATGAAGGAAATTTTTTGGGTTAAGTGTTGGGATTCTCTTTGTTCACTCCTACCTTAAATTGGGAAAATTATTAGGTCCGGACACCGGACATAAAGATACGCCCGGACATCAACTAAAAACTTGACATGTGGAGTGCACTTTAGTTGCGTTTTTTTTGTGTGCTTTACCTTGCACATTACCTGTGTTTTACCTGTGCTTTAGTTGTGCTTTAACTGTGCTTTACCTGCGCTAGTTGCGCTTTTGGTGCGTTTGTGTTAAAGTTCCACGGACACATTAAATATATTGAATATCCATGTGTTCACACCACGTGTCGATATTTTATTGACGTCCGAACCTAATAATTTTCCCTTTGAATATTTTAGAGTGTGCTCCATTGGTCAAAGATTTTAAAAAAATATGAGACATTGTTAATCTTTGATATCATTGTTCAACCCTGCATTAAGTTGGTCCTTATTATAATTTACTTTAGTGTTATCATCATTAATTTTTTACTTAGTATTTTTCCTTCACTTAAATTGTAACCCTCTATTTCACATAGCATTAAAAAAAAAAAAGGCTAATTTTAATCTTCAACAAGTAGCAAGTCAGAATGAGTAGTTAATACTAATTGAATTGAAATGTAAAGATTTCTATTTAAATATTTCATAGCATGATATTCATTTTGGTTCATCATGCTTGGTATTTAAATAAGCTACTCCTAGCATTTTTTGCCACAAAAATTTATGGATTGTTATAGGCTGTTTTTTCTTTAGCATTTCTAGAAGTAGAATGTATGCAGGGGTTGCTTGTTGTTAGTAACATTTGATTAATATTTATTTATTAAAATCAAATATTTTTTATAAATTACTAATTGATTAGATTTCGTCACCAATTTATATATATAGAAGCTTTTAAAAAAGTTATTTTTTTAATTGCGGTTTCACAATCATCTTTGTAAAATGCTACAGTCATTCTAAATAGATCTTAAACCTACCCTCTGTTGATTGAAACCTCAACCAAATTGGAACTCATAGTGCTCATCTATGTTAAGGTTACTCTATTTAGTACAATTGTAATGACATCCTAATTTTCTTTCAAGAACAATTCGAGGAAATAACTTTCTTTTGCTATGAGTTAAGTAATCATGTGACTTAACTTTTGAGTGTCAACTTTGTTGGCACCACATTTCTACTCAGCAAACACCTAATTAAAACTCATTTGCTAAAGTTAGTAAGCTTGGTTTTATACCTACCAAATGTCATTAATTAACTTATGCAAATGAGATGAATTAACAAAATCTATGACAACTTTGACCAATTTATTGTAATCCATAGTTTTGATATGTTTTTATCATCAAAGTAGATTTAGGCTTCACTAGGGACAACTTTTTTATTGTTTTCAAGTACAGAAATTTCAAGTTCAAATTTTTTTTGTATTAATTAGCAACTCAAAGAATTTTATTATTGAATATGTCTTATTAGTAGATGGATTAAAGCAAAACCTGCTTAGTATTAGCCAATTATATGATAAAGGTTTTGATATTAAATTTATATCTAGTAAGTGTATGATAAGCTTAAACGAAAAAAAAATCATTATTTTAGAATGAAAAAGAATGATCAGTATTTAAATTCTTGATATGATTTGTATTGATTATTCGGACTCTTTATGTTTAAAATTGGTTTTGATGAATCCTAGCTTTGACATAGGTGACTATGTCATACAAGTATGAAAACTCTTAGGAAAATCACCTAGGAAAATTTTGTGATGACTGCTAATTAGGAAAATAAATAAAAAATTATTTTCATTCCATCAAGGACATCATCACTTCTTGGGCATTATAATTTCTTCACATGGTCTTATTTGGACCCATTAGTACAACTAACCTATAGAGTTTTTAGTAAGAGGATCTTTATGGTAGAGGAAACCACCCATGTAGTATTTGATGAATATGATAAATCTGGTCAGCCTAGGTTAGAAGAAGAAGATGATGTAGAGGTCAGCCAAAGAATATAATCTATGACAATGTAAGTGTCATGTTGCTAATTATACATGAGCCCACTATTTTCCTAACGGTGTTGTCTCCTAGTATTACCATGCCTCCTACCCTAGCCTCCAGCATGATGAATTGCTTCATATCTCTAGTCATGTGTCGTGAGCATCCACTGACCAAGTAACACATACTCTCACTAGATATTTTGTGAAAGCACCCCTATAAAGTCAATCAAGGGTTAAATTTTGAAACCCAAGTGAGTTTGGCTTTCATATTATGCTTCAATGAGTGAATAAAATACATGTTATGTTGTGATGCGAATGATTTCAACCTCAATACTAGATGTGTTTTATGGTGTATGGTACAAGTGCAGGCTATGTGTCCCAATATGCCACAAGAGTTACACCTAACACCTGGGAATGAATTTTCTAATCTATGTGGGGGTGTTGTGCATCTTCCTAGAGGTTTGTGACATGTAGCAATGTGAGGTAATATTATTATGTTAGTGTATGTGGTGGTCTATTTATTTGAAATGAAGAGCTCTTGCCTAGAGATTAGAGATATGCGTAGTCATCCTAGGGAATTCATCTTATGAGATCCCTCTGTAGGAGTTAGGACTAGGCATGGACTAGGAGCTTAGTCTCTTTTTTTCATCTCTATGATAGAACCCGCTAGTGTATATCAAACTTAATCTGATTAATTATGGATCATAACTATGCAAGAATAATTGAACCAATTTGTTAGAAATGATGTTTAGAAATTAGTTAGTAGACCTAAGGACTGAAGTGTTGTAGGAACCAAATAGATTTTCAAGAACAAAATGAATGACTCTGGAGTAGTAGCTAGAAATAAAGTCAAATTAGTAGCTAAGGGGTATAATCAAATAGAAGATATTGATTTTTAGAAGATCTTTACCCCTATAGCTAAGTTAGAAGCTATTAGAGTGTTATTAGCCTTTACTTACTTTAGAGGTTTTAAGCTGTATCAAATGGATATAAATAGTACCTTTTTGAATATGGTTATTAAAGAATATATATATATGTAGAGCAATCCCCTAGATTTGAAAATTCAACTTTTCCTAATCATGTCTACAAATTGAAAAAGGCATTGTATGGATTGAAGTAAGAACCTGTGATATGGTACTATAAAAAGCTTAACACTTTTCTCCTATATAGATTCTTTGGTTAGGGTAGTGTAGATACAAACATATTCCTTAAGAAAGTAGGGTATAATCAACTTATAATTCAAATATATGTAGATGATATATTATTTGGACAATAAATGAACATCTTTGTAAAGAATTTTCAGAAATCATGAGTAGCGAATTTCAAATAATTAAGATGGGAGAGCTAACTTATTTCCTTGGTTTTAGTGTAAATCAAATATATGATGGAACTTTTCTAAGCCAAAGTAAATATATCAAGGATATTTTAAAGAAGAATGAGATGGAAATTGCTAGAGAAATTAATACACCTATGAGCTCTACTATTAAATTAGACAAAGATACAAGTGGATTGTTAATGGACAAAAGAAGTATACGGGTATAATAGGACCACTTCTGTATTTGACTGCTAACAGACCTGACATTATATTTAGTGATTGTTTTTTTTTGCTAGATTTCAAGTAGATCTTAAAGAATCACATATGGAAGGTGTTAAAAAGAATTCTTAGATACCTTATAGGAACCCAAAATCTAGGTTTTTGATATTTTAAACATAGTTCCTTGTTTGAAATCATAGGATATTCAAACTTAGACTTTGTAGGATATATGATTGATATAAAAATCACATTTGAAACCTATCAATTCATATGTCAATCCTTAGTTTCCTGGTTTAGTAGAAAATAAAACTATGTAGCTCTATACACAGTTGAGACAGAACACATTTTTGTAGGAAGTTGTGTTGCTCAAGTCTTATGGTTAGGGCAACAAATCTTTGACCTTGGACTCTATGTTGACACTATTCAAATTATGTATGACAATGTAAGTTCCATGTGCATCTCTAATATTCATATCCAACACTCTCGTATTAAGCATATAGACATCGTGCACCACTTCATTAGAGTCCATGTTGCTAAGAGAAATATTGAGTTGAATCATGTAGCAACTAAAGATCAATTGACATACATTATCACTAAACTCTTAAGCTATGACACCTTTAGCACATTGAGGACTAGACTAGGTGTCATTGACATTCATGTCGGATTCAGGATAAAAAGAAAGCAATAGCTTGAGATTTTATGTAATTTGTATGTTTATGTAGTTTTGTTTTTAGAAGATAAGATTAGAGAGAGTCGCCTTAGATGGTTTGGTCACATAAAACGACGGCCTTGCGATGACTCGGTTAGGAGAGTAGAGGTATTAGATTTGACTTATGTTAAGAAAGGTAGGGGTAGACCTAAAAAGACTTGGTTAGAAAATATTAGGAATGACCTTTCTTTATTAGATTTAAACGAGAATTTGACTTTTAATAGGACACAATGGAGAAAAATGATTCATGTAGCCGACCCCACGTAGTGGGATAAAGGCTTGATGTTGTTGTTGTTGTTGTTGTTGTTTTGTTTTTGATTTATGCTTGTCAAATATTCAACATTGTTTGCTTATTAGTAGTTATTCCCTGATAATCACACACTACCTATTAAAATAAATAAAATTTTCACATCATACTGTATGGACACTATTCATACTGTACGATCTGCATAACTAATCACATCCTTGTTGTCTATGATTTCAACAATTTTGATTTGACCAATTATTCATGATCGTACTATATGATACATCTCTTCGTCCAGTACGATCCATGTGTTAGTTATTGTTGAATGAATTTAATCATCCGAAATGATTTTCAAAACGTCTTCATGCTATATGAACACCTTTTCATACTATAAGAATCTTTTTATTAATGGTTGTACCAATGACTTCTTGGGATTATCATTTTTAATGAAGATTGTCTAGTACGATCTTGATAGTATTGTATGATTTGACTCCTTTTTTTGACAGACCGCCCAAAAGAATTGAATTTCTCTGATCATACTATACAAAACTTGATCGTATTGTTCGATCTATTAAAATTCTATAAGGAATTTTTATGGTTTCACTCACTCTATCCCTTTGTTCCTATTTTCACTTGCATTTGTACCCTCAACACTCTTAATGGTAGGTCACTAGTGAGCTCATCAACTGCTCCAAAGGCAATTCCTCCCATCTTTCTTTTAACGGTCCTTTCCAAACAGTGGAGGATGAAGCTTCCTACTATAGACACAGGGAAGCCTAGATGCTAAGTGAGTAATCTTAACCTTTGTTTCTTATTCATAATACTAACTATAATAAGCTAATTGGGTGTTTGTTTAATGGGCTTATAGATGTCCTTTTCATTAGCTCTATACAACTACTTCAAATAGACAAATCCTTGCAAATATAAGGAAGGAAAAATATTAACACCTTTTATAGATTATCACATTAGCTCTTTATATTCTTACGCTAGATAAAAAAAATTAATGCTTACATATTTATTCTTGAGGTATGAAAAAAACATCCTTGCTCATAAGCACCTTGTTATTCTTCCAGCTCAGCATCATTGGTACTCTATCCCAATATAACTTAGTATATCTCTTCTTTTATTTAGAATAGCTTAATAAGCCCAGTACTATGGTGATACTATATATCCAATTATAGTGTATTGGGTGAGGGAAATCTATCTTATCGCTTTGCATCATAATGCACAACGCCCCTTTTTCAGCCCTCATAATGTCTTCTCCCATGACATCATACCCCAAGAGTATCTAAAAATGCATCTTCCCTTTTGACCATGAGAACTATTTTAGTGAAGATAACATTGTGCTTTTCATAATTAAGGAAAATACCATCTACAAAGAAGCGCATCCCAGGATTTCATAAATCAAAATTTTTAGCGCACACCATCATTGTCTTCTTGAAATTCTTTTCCTCATTGAACTAGCGCTCAAATACCTTGTTAATTCTTATCATTCTCTTAAGCTTGACATCAATTGAGAGCTCTTAAAAATTCAACCTAGATAATGAGATAAACACTTTAATCGTGAAGGTAATGTTCTTCCCTTTAATGTTTAACACAATAGAGTACTCACGATCCTCATCATTATCAACCATCCTTAGTAGTCATTGATGAATGAGGGCACCGTACAACTATTATATTTTAAGAGCTTGAAGAAGTGCCTAAAGGGAGATCCCTCAGGCTGGGTAATGATATCATTTGCCTCAAATTTCCTAAGAAACCTCACTATAATTCTTTGGCTTTATATGCGACTTGAGCTGAGTCATACCTCTTAATTGATAAGATTATACAAGACATGTGTATACACAATACAAAAACTCAAATGAATAAATCCTAAAATCATCTCCACATTCAACATTATTGAATAAAAAGGGATCATGGCCAAACCTTATTCGACAATGATCAACTTACTCAATAAGTTGTCATATTTTTTAGAACCCACGATTTAGCAATATTTGACCAACTTTGAAATGTTATAGCCTTGTTCGAACTTCTTTGATCCTGATTCAACTTTTTTATCTTTTTTTTAAAGGTTATTTGACATGATTGATGAAGGGTTGAATGTAGGTAGAACAAGTGTACACATAAAGTTTTAGGTAGTTCGAAAAAGGCTATGCTAAGTAGAAATTGGTTTGGTTATTGCTAAACTGCATGTTTATGATGTTATGAAGACTCATTAAATAGGTCGATCATTTTTCAAAAATTCCCGAATAAATTTTGATCATATTTGAATGATTGTTAAAATTTTTTGATGAAGATTTAATCATTGTTCTAACATCAAATGAGGATGGAAGATGGTTTTAACAAGACAATTAATACATACTAAAGTCTATCAATCAAGGGGTTTATGGTTAATTGTGTGAAACTTGATTTCATCCCTAAATGATAAATTGAATGCAATAACCCAAACTCTCATCAATCGAGATATTATCCACTTTGGCCTAATGACCTAATTGTTTTATTCCTTTTGTGTAACTTTTCAATAGGTCACCCATTCTAGGCTGCTCTTGTATGAGCATACTTAACTTTGGAGTTTCTATTGAAATTCCAATCATTACACTAAAAGGCACTTCGATGTTTAAGAATTTAGTTTTATTTTCTTAAGGGGTTTCTTAGTCTCCCTACTTAGATAATTAATATCATCGTCAATGTCCTTAGCCTAGAATCATCCAGCAAGCACATATGATTATATAAGTAGAGTTCACATCTTATGGCTAGTGTAATGCTCTGATAATATTTTTAACAGTCTAAATTTTCAACCATCAAGATATTATCCACTTTGACTTAATGGCCTCACGATTTTGTTTCCTTGGTATAACTTCCCAAAGGTTACACATCCTAATATACGAGCATGCTTAATTTTGAAGTTTTTACTGAAATTTTAATATTTATACTAAAAGACGCATCAATATGAAAAGTTTAGTTTTATTTTTTTAGGGGTTTCACACTGAAAAATATCACTAACCTTTGAAGATTATGTTTGGAGAAATATCATTGTCATAAATTTTGGCGCATGCTGACGATGGAACATTTGCAATTATTAGAAATAAATAATGTGATGGAAAGATAAAGAATAATAGAGCTCTTAGGATTGAAGGGTTGCGAAACTATTTAGCGAAGATTTTGTCTTTACAACAACAACAACAACATCATCATCAAGCCTTTATCCAACTACGTAGGGTCGGCTACATGAATCCTTTTTCTCCATTGTGTCCTATTAAAGGTCAAAATTTCGTTTAAATCTAATAAAGAAAGATCATTCCTTATATTTTCTAACCAAGTCTTTTTAGGTCTGCCTCTACATTTCTTAACATAAATCAAATCTAATACCTCTACTCTCCTAACTGGGTCATTGGAAGGCCGCCATTTTATGTGACCAAACCATCTAAGGCGACACTCTCTAATCTTATCTTCTACTGGAGCTACTCCAACCTTTTACATATATGTATTCTAAAGGGTAAAAGCCAACTCATCCCCTTGAGCATCCTCATTCTGCAACTTAACGTAATATTTAATGCTTCTCTTTTTAGTGGCCAACATTCAGCTACCATTAACATGCATGATGCCTCACTACCATCTATTAAATTTTTCTAATTTGAGTACTTTCTATATCAACAATAAGCCCATGCTAAATCCTCCACCTTCAACCATCGCAACTTTGACATGTCTTGATTTAATATCCCCATCTATTTCACGCATCACTTCTGATATTACAAAAATCCTAAGATTATCTAAAACGTTTCTCTATTAATGCTTGATGAGCCCAAAGTCCGCAATCCCCTCACTAGGTTATTACTATATAAATTACACCTCCATATATTCTGTTTTAGATCTACTCAAGACAAACCTAATGAGTCCTAATGTTGATCTCTCATTATTCAAGTTACTTCGAACTCCCTCTCTAGTCTTATCAACAAGAAGAATACATCAGTCAAAAGCAACCCAAGGGACATCCTCTTGAAAATGTCTAGTGAGAACAACCATGTACTAAAGCAAAAGAGATAGGCTTATAGGCTGACCTTGATGTATGAACCACACAAAATAAGGGAAATTTACTTGGTTCAAACCCATTGTGTTTGTAACAAAAGTAAATAGAACTCCTGCATACAATATCTTAATGATTTGAATATAAGCATTGATTAATCTTTCTTTTGCTAATATCTCCCCCATATGCACTTCTCTTGGAACTGTTATTTCAATATGAGTTTTTCTAAATCAATAAATATCATATGTAGATCTCCTTATTTTCTCTATATTTCTCCATTCAAAACCTCTTAATAAATTGTGATGACTTCCATAGTCGACCTACCCGGCATGAAATCCAAAATGATTTTGGAGAAACATTAGTATCGAACAGCCGCAACTATGCTCCATAACTCGCGTCCCATATTTTTAAAAGTATGACACATTAACTTAATTCTCTATAATTCGCACAATCTTATGCATAACCTTATATTCTTAAGAATGAATTAACATACTCATTCTCCCACTCATCTGACATCTTTTTAGTCTTTTAAAATAGTATTAAAAAGTTTAGTAAGCAAAGAAATTCCTTCATCTCCTAAGCATTTCCACACCTCTATCGGATATATCAATCGAGTCCAACACTGTTTTTCATCCTTTATTTTTTTTAAAGCCTCTCTAACTTCGGTTTTATTAATACGCCTATAAAACCAAAATCTTTATATTCATTTAGGGTGCTAAGGTCACTATAGTCAACTTATTTTCAACATTTTCATAAAAAGTTTAAAGCAAAAATATCTCATCCATCTTTGTTGAATATCATCTTCTAAGAAAAGTATTTTTTTCATTTTCATCCTTAATATAGTTCACTTGAACTAAATACTTACTACTCCTATCTCTTTATTTGACTAACTTATACATATATCTTTCTACCTCCTTAGTATCTAATCTATTATATAAATCACAAAAAACTAAGATCTTTGCATCGCAAATTATTTTCCTAGATTCCTTAGGAGCCTCTTTATATCTTTCCCAATTATCAGAATTTTTAAAATTAAACCACTTGAAGATTTTGTCTTTATTTGTTAAAAATTAAGATAATTTTAAACTTTATTATATATATATATATATATATATATATATAATTTCAAATATTATGCGCATATAAAATCAAACTACTTATAAAATACACTAGCTGCAGTGATAATTTCTCATTATGACAGCAATATTTTTAGCGACAAAGTAAAACCAAAATGCAAGCTTTATCCTCCTGCCGCGACTAGGAAGGAGGTTGTCAGTCATGGTGACCTCCGTGAAGTTCTTTTTGCCTAATACTCCTCAAAATCATAACCCTACATCCAATCTTCTCGTCCTCCCCTCTACAAACTCTTCAAAGACCCTTCCCACCTTCAACAACCTAACCTTTTCTTCATTCAATTCCTTGAGATGCCGCATCTCAAACCCTGGCAAGGCCCTTAATTGCTCGACTCATTGCAAATTATCCAATTTTTTCCGCTTCCATCTCTTCCATCGGAGAATAGTCCGTCCAGAGATTCTCTGCGCCGCCGCCGGCGGGGATTCTGATACTGAGCCAGCGGTGGTTCATAAGAGCAGCGGCGGCGAAGGCGGTGGTGGGGACGGAGGAGGGGAAGGAGATGAGGAAGCACAGAAGAAGAAGGGGTTGCTTCCGGAATGGGCTAATGTTACTACGGAAGATGCGAAGACTGTGCTTGCAGCCTTGGCTATTTCGTTGGCTTTCAGATCCTTTGTTGCCGAGCCGCGGTACATTCCTTCTCTATCAATGTATCCTACATTTGATGTTGGAGACCGCGTTGTCGCCGAAAAGGTAACTTTTTTATGTTTTTGTTGTTTTTCTGCAATCCAAATAGTCTTATCTTATGATTTATATACGTATGGACTGCTTCTATTTTATTTTTTTGTAAGAGTATAAAGTAAAAACAATATTAAATTTAGGTTCGTCATCTTCGCTGAAGTTGTAAATTTATTAGTAAGTGGCCATTTACTGTAAAAAAATGTTTATCTGTGTTTTTAAGGAAAAATTTCTGTGTTAATATTTTTTCTGAGAGTTACACTACAGTGGAATGCTGTCAATTGAAATATGCATAGTTTCCTTTTTTTGGTCTCCTTTGTACTAATGCTAATGAGATTCGGCAGAGTTGCAGGATATTTAGATGATCGAGCAATTGAAATGAAAAACATGGATAATTTACTGATTAAGAATGAGCTTAACCCTTGCAAACTTAATTTTAGAATGATAAAGTCATAGTGACTTGTTTTCATCAGCCTACACGTGCTAAACAACTTTGACTACATTTCAAATCTTACAAGGAAAGTTTAATAATTTGTTATCCTTAAAACTTTAAGCAACATATGCAAAGTATGACCTACATTTCTTTTATCTTCTGCTTGGAACAATATGCTAACTATTTTCTTGATATATCAAAGTAAACTTTCATGTGTTGTTGTATTCATCTCTAATTATGACCTTTTTATCATTATATTTAATGTGCCCAACTTCATCAAAGTTCCTAGATCGCTCATCTCCACCTTATTTTATATATGCCACGTATTTGAGTATGGTCTATAACCTTCTTTAACACTTAATATTCGCCTGTTTCTTGCATGGAATGTGTTGTATATACAATTATCTTTGGGCCTCATCCGCAATTGACCCCATATCTACTTATTTGCTAGTATTTGTGCTTAGTTATACTTATCTTGGTCTTAAAATATTGTGCCGTTCTTTATGAAGTTGGTTTAGGTGTGGATAAGATCTATTTTCATGTTGTAATTGCTTACAAATAGGCTTGAAATCCTACAGAAAAATTTGAAATCCTTTACAAATTCTATGTTTCTTTTTCTTTTCCTCCCACCACATAGTTTTCAGTCCATGCACTGTAGCCATTTGTTGAAGAGTTAAGGGAGTGCTTCTCTAGTATTTGCGCAAGGTTGTGGGTTCTATTGCCTCTATTTTCTGCATTGGGAGGCTATTTGTTACCTGCTTCTTTGCCACTGCATAACTACTGGAATCCCCTATTGTTGTGGTATTGTATAGCTTTGCCATTATTGCTTTTTCAGCATGTTGTTTGGATAGCATTGTCGCTGTCCTTCTGTTGGATTTGTTGACTGTCGCTTTGCTCTATTTGTTGTGGATGAAATTTGTTATTGTTGTTTTATTGTAATTTTTTTTGTTTATTCCAGAATTAATCTAGAAAATGTATGAGGAACAATTGAAGGATTTTATAGGGAAAATAGTGGGAAGTATTATATGCAAGTTCGGAACTAAAGCTTGAGAAATAATTTTAATCTATAATGAGAACAAACTAGATGAAGAAGGCTGGTCTACAAATCAAATTAGTATGAAAGTGCCAATCCCTGGTGCAAGATACAAATGAAGAAGGGATATAATGCTATTGTGGGGAGTTGTTTCTTGTCTTGGAGATGATTCAAAAGTCAAAAAAGAGGTAAGGGAAAGTAGAGAAAGAAGAGGTAGTAAACTAATCAATGGCTAATAATGTTCCTGCACAAAATTTTGCAATTAAGTGGCTGAACTGGCAGAGCAACTGAATGCTATGATGATAAGAAATAATACAGTTGCGATTAGTTGGTTATGTTGTAATCATCCTCCTTTAGTTTTCCTTTTATCCCCAATACAAACATATGGTTGAAGAGAATGGAGATGTGGATATGACTACCATTAATGCAGGATGCATCTTTCAAAGTAATAGTCAAAGTAGAGATTCTTTACATATGATGCCAAGAAGCTCGATACATGTATCAACCATTTGGAGACTTCACCTTGTATAGATATAACACCCATGACAATGTTGCATTTGCCCAACTAAAGTTAAGGCATCATGCATTGGCAAGATGGAATGCCTATATAAAGATAAATGACTAACATGAAGTAACTTAGAGGATGTTCAAGTAGCCGATATATCGAGAATTCAACCCGATGGAGTGTGACATCTCTTTAGGAGTAAATCTTGGTGTTGTACATACTCTGATGAAGTATGCCTAAAGTATTCACAAATTATAAGTGAACTCTACCTGTTTTTAATTTTCGATCGTAGTTAGACTAGAGCAATGGCCTTGGAGTGTAATATTCAAGGCAGGAAAGATGGCCCATAACTATCTGAGAAAGGATTCAATTTCTTGAAGAACCAAAAAAAGGGCAAAATGGTAGGATATGCTCCAAAGCCTACTTCTATCTCAAAGTTAAATATTATAGGGAAGTTATATGACCATTGTCAAAAACCTAATCATACTATGGAAAATTGTTTGAATGTGTATCCTGAACTCTTACCTTGAAAGTAAAATATTATAGAGAGTTATATATATATTATCAAAAACTTAACCATACTAGAGAAAATTGTTGGAATGTGTACCTTGAACTCTTACCTTGAAAGTAAAAAGATGAGAAGTAGAAGATGATTGCTACTATTGTGGAAAACATAATGCTCAATCTTGTGGACAACACAAGCCCATTTTTTATCTCTGATGGCCATGTTGAAGCATATATTGATGGGGTTGTCCTGTAATATGGACACGTGAAAGAATTATTCACTATGAGAATCTAGGTCAAGCAAGAGGTAATTGGCATTATCATTGATAACTTTAGCTAAAAGAACCTTATTTCTATTATGGTACAGAAGTTTAGATTAAACACCCTACCTCACCTAAGATCTTATCCTTTGGGTTGTATTTAAAAGGGGCCTAAAATGTGGATTGATCGTTAATACTGATTGAAGATTGATCGTTAATACTGATTGAAGATTGCAATCAGTAAGGACTAAATTGATGATATGCTATGCAAGATAGTTTCATTTGATATTTATCAAGCTATCTTTGGTAGTTCATACATGCATGACATGTATGCAATGTTTGTATCTTCGTCCCTACCAATGGTAGATGATTATGGATGGGAAGAACTTGTTGGACTATGGAGTACAAGTAGCGGATGTTGTGATGGTAGACAAGACACATAAAATTATAATTGTTTCTCAAAATTTTACTTTTACTTTTGAGGTCTATCATGAAGGAAGAAATGAGTATTGCTCTTTTTGTGTTTAGCAAGGTTAGATATATTCTACTATAACAATTGTTGGAAAAATATGTAGTGCTCTTTTAGGTGTAGGGTTGCCACGACAACAACCCATAAAGTATGATGTTTAATTAATTTCAGATCATTTGCTACCAAATCTTCTGATGTACCTAAACCTAGTCATTGAGAATGAGGAGACTAGAAAGATGGTTGTGGAGTTTTTAGAGAGTGGAATTATTTAGGCTTACAAGTCATTTTGTGGATCACCCATGGTGGTGGTCCCAATGAAGGATTGCATATGAAGATTATGTGTTGACTACTGTGCCCTTGATGAAATATCAATAAGAGTTATTATATTTTGTCATGCATCAATGGACCGTTAGATCAGTTGAATCTTGTAACCATGTTTATTGAGTTGGATCCAAATATGTTTATCATCTAGTGTGCATTAATGAGTTTGCTAATATCTTGATGATATCTGAGTCCACAACAAAACATAGGAGTAGTTGGAGAATTCAAGGAAGGTATTCCATTTATTACAACAACACTAGCTTCTTCTCAACCAAAAGAAGTGTGAATTTGCCGAAAGGTGTCCCCTGTACTTGGGATTTGCAGTGGGTAATGGAGAGATCAAAATTGATCCTAAAAATTGTAGCAATGAATGATGTAAGAAGTTTTATGGGAACTTGCTAACATGTTTGTAAGTTCATTCATGGTTTTTCAATACTTTCCTATCATTTACTTTCTTTGAATATGGGCAAATGCTAAGTTGGAATGGAGCCAAAAGCATGAGTATATTTTTATCTTTTTGAAGGAGATATGTGAGGCCCCTATGTTAAACTTGCCAAATTTGTAGTGACCGTTTGAATTGGAGAGTAGTGCTACTGGATTTACAATAAGAGTGATACTAATGCAGGCTGAGAGATGCATTACTTATCACTAATAAATGTTTCAAGGGGCTCGAAAGAACTACTCACTTATGATAAGGGCCCATTTATTGCTTATCACTCAAAGTTGTTTCAGGGAGCTCAAAAGAGCTATCTCGCTTGTGATAAGGAGTTGTTGGCATTGAATCAAATGTTGACATGTTTACATGCTAGGTAAGGATACTATGGTATATGTGGACCACATGCCACTTTAATATTTGCAGACTCAAACAAAGCTACAATTGATTCAACGTATGAAGTGAATGAATTATTCCAATAATTCAATCCAGTGATCAAGTGTGAGATGGGGGGTTATTAATAAGATGGTTGGCATGCTTTCTCGGCCATGTTTAACACTTTCTTTATAAGTATTATTATACATATTTAACATTCTATATTGAAATATTACCAAGAGTAATAACAAAGAAAATTCTTCATCAATGCGATATTGTCGGGCTTGGAGAGTACAATTTCTTTTGTGTTTTGTCTAAAAGATGATCTTTTCTATAATAGAGGGTTGAGGGTAGCTATGCATACTAGATTCTATCGACCAAGGCTGTGAAAGGTGCACACATCCATAGTGATTAACCATTTTTGGAGTGGAGAAAACATTGCAAAACCTCTAGTGATATCTTTATTAGCCAAACATGTTGGAGGACGTGAGTAAGCACATTAGGGGATTTATACTTTATAGCACCTCTAAATTTGCAAATATGAAGCTAGGATTTCCCTCACCATTTCGGTATCAAACTATCCATGGGTATTCATGGATTTTCTGTATGGTTTGTCAAAAACAAAGAGGAGCCATGATGACCTGTATGTGATTGTAGATCAAAGGTGGTTATTTTAATACCTTGCATGAAAATCATTATAGGCGAGGAGATTATACGCTTCCTCCAACATGTATGAGCATGCTTTAGATTGCCTAGTTCTATTATGTCTGATCAAGATAGCTAGTTCCTAAGGTGATTCAACGAGGTCTTTTGGTCCATGATGGATGCCACATTGAAAAGGAGCACCATTTTTTCATTTACAGACTTTGTCCAAACAAAAGGTGGTGAATAGTACTTTGGTGAATTTTTAATGAGTGTAGAATAATAAGCATCCCCAAACTTGGGATGACAACCGATCATACTTTCAGTAAACCTTCAATAGAGTTGTGCCTCCTCTACGATGAAGGCACCATTTGAAGTATGCTTAGGGTATAGGCTACAAATCCCTATTTGACCTTCACTTCCATCTCTCCCGTTACTTTTTTCTCATGGTATTGTTGTTAACCATGAATGCCCTCATAGAGTTTTGGAGAGCATCCAAAAAAATTCATGCATTGGTGAAAAAACAACCACAAAAGACCCAACTTAAATAGTAAGGCATGATCATCACATTGTCAAGGCTGACTTCTAAGTTAGAGATCTTTCTTGGTTACATTTGGGCAATTATCACCTCAAAGTAGTGAGAAATAAGTTGAAGTCAATCCGGTATGATCAACTTAAAATCCTTGGAAATATTGGAAACATTGCTTGCTAGCTGGAACTGCCATCATGCATGGTGATGTGTTAGACCGGTCCATTGGACCGGTCCAGTCGGTCCGTGCGGGACCGGCCCAGCGCAAACTGGGCGGAGAAATCTCCGCCCGCGGGGATGCCGAGCGAGCCGCACACCGTGCGGGAGCTTTTTAGGAAGCTTTTTTTGAGGGTTTTGAGAGGGAAATTTGAATGTAGGGACTGTTTAGGGATTTCCTTTTGATTTGTATGCATTAAATAGTTTGTTTTCCTAGGGTTTGGGCATCTTGAATTTGGCTGAAATTTGAGATCTCTTAGATTTAGGTTTTCTTTGGGTTCTAGCGGCGTCTAGAGATTTGGGAGAGATCGATCCTCCTCTCGAATTGAGGATCAAGTGTATCTTGCTATTTTTCGTGTTCCTTTCATCAAATCATACAAGTTATCTACTGTTTTTGTGCGGACTTTTTGTGAAGATTTTCGTTGTTTTCCAAAGATTGATAGGAAATGCTTGAAAACTACTAGTGTTTCCTATCATAATGTATTCATGATAAATTTGGACAATTTTTAGCCTTTTGTAACCTTACTTTATTACAATTTAGAAAATGTGCTACCTGCTATGCACGATTTATTATTGGAGTAGGAAGTACCTATAGAACAAGACATATTCTTGGAGTATAAGATTACCACCACCACCAATGAAATTCCATTCACCAAGGCCAAATAGTTCACCGAGATAATTAGGTAAATAGCCTCCCTCATATTTAGCTTTAATTTTGTAGGATTGAAATTCTCATAAATGGTGTATTGACGCACTTGTCAATGGTGAATGACACACTATGGCGTAAAGTTCCTCGTTGAGCCATGACGTATAGTGCAAGGCACACGGCGCGGCGCACGACATTTTAACAACATCAACAACAATCCTTTATCCCACTATGTGGGGTCGGCTACATGAGACCTATTTGTCCATTGCGTCATGTTAAGAGTTAAATTCTCATTTAATTTTAATAAAAAAGTTCATTTCTAATATTTTCTTACCAATTTAGGTCTACCTCTACCTTTCTTAACATAATTAATTCAAATCTAATACATCTACTTTCTTAACTGGGTCATTGGAAGGCCGCTGTTTCATGCGACCAAACCAACTAAGGCTACTATCTCTAATCTTATCTTACATTGAAGCTACTCCAACCTTTTCATATATATATATATACAAAACACTATTAAATAACAAATAATATATTGATTTGAGCAAAATGTAACCATAAATATCCTACACAACAATAAAAAATGACATTTTTAAATATTACAGAAGCTTACATTGATGGATTTGAGTAGGATTTAAACATAATTTAGCCTAAATCCTACCAAATAAAAAAATAAAAGCTTGAAATCCTTCAAAAAACTTTTAAATATGATAATTTTTTTGTTATTTTATTAATTTGATATTTAATTAATTAATAATTAATTTTGATATATATAAACCTTAAAAATTTTAATTATAATTTAGAATTTGAAATTTATAACATGTTAATAAAATGGCTTGTGCTATTTGCGCCTTGGCCATGCACCATTGCTCATGCATGGTGCAAATAGCACGGGCCATTTTAATTCGATGCGCCTCACCAAATAAATAGAGTCGTATGTGCGCCGTGCCGTGCCGTGCATCATTGCGCGCGCCAACTGTTGTCTAGATTGTGTTGCTTCTGCCAACTGTTGCTCACTGCCATGTATGCGTTACCACAACTGTTGCTGCTACTGATTTGTTGCATTGATGTTTGCTGATTCCAGAACTAATCCAGATAACAAGGAAGAATTGAAGGGTTCCAGCAGCGAGGGTATGTGGAGGGGTTCCTGTTCATAGCCTTTGCCCTTCATTTATTAAGAGTTTCCTTTCTTGACTTGAATCTAGGGTCTCCATATCAAACTAGTGGCAACCTAAGTTAGGTATCGTTGGTTTCGTAATTATGAGACTTATGTTAGACTATAAGTTTGTTGAAATCAGAGTTCAGATGGTCTTCGATTTAATTTCCGAAGTTTCAGACTTGATTTAGTCTTGAGATTTGCCCAATCAAGATAAGTTTTTGATGGCATATCATAGATAAAATGTATAGATATAAAAGCACTTTTGATCTTTTGGATTTTATTTTATTTTGCAATCTCACTCTCTCTCTCTGAGGGATTTTTTTTTGGGGGGCATGTGGTTTTTTTTTGGGGGGGGCATCCCCCCCCCCCCGCCCCCCCTTGCCCCCCTTTCTCTCCGCCCATGAACCTAACTACTGGTTAACGCCTCTCTATTGTCGTAATTTTCTACTATTTCTTCGTCAACTAATTAGTATAACTAGCAACACTAGTTTTTTTATAGCTTTGTTGGTAAAGTTAATTCGGCGGTCTTTCTCTTAGGCCTAAAAGATGTTTTACAAAAACAATAATGCTCATGTTCGGTTACTACTATCATTCTATTTTTCATGCTTGTTTATGCTTTTGATTGTTAATATTCATGAAATTAAGCAAAATGTTTGCTATTATCAACATGTAAGTTTCGGTATATAGAACTCATCTTCCTCATCATTCTCAGTCTGCATTTTTTATAGGTTTCTTACTACTTCAGAAAACCATGTGTAAATGACATAGTCATCTTTAAGAGCCCACCAGTGTTACAGGTAACTGTAGTTCCTTTACAAGTTGATAACTTTTCTGTGCACATTACATTTATTCTCATTCTAATATTCTTTACCATGCAGGAGGTCGGATATTCCAATGATGATGTTTTTATCAAGAGAATTGTTGCCAAAGCAGGTGATGTGGTCGAAGTAAGTGTATCAAGAGTTATGAGCTGTGTTCTTGGTGAAACAAAAAATGTTCTTACTCATTTTATCAGAGTATATTTTTACTAATGCTGTCAAAAGAAAATGATCATGCTTGTATGATTATTAATGCAAGTGTAAAAAAAAATCTTTATGTACCATATATTTGTGTCTTGGATAATTCTATCATGGCGGCGTGTTCCCTCAGCCCCCTCCTTATCTCTGCTAATGTACTACAACAACATCATCAAGCCTTTATCCCACTACGTGGAGTTAGCTACATGAATCCTTTTTCTCCATTGTGACAAAATTTTTAAAGGATTCATGTCATTATTATTCGACAAGTTTTACGCTGGCTGTCGACTACCTAATGCAACCCTCCATTTTTCCTATCCAGGACTTAGGACCTGACAACGATAGTGTTAATGTAGCTAATGTAGCTGCTACTTAATCATGTTTTTTATTTTATTTTATTTTTTCGCATGAACTAAGTACTACTCACTAATCATTACTTTTGTAAATAATGCATTGATAATTTTTAAAATGCTTATTGCTAGTTATGCACCTATGTTGCTCCCCAACTGCTTTTTTCCTTCAGATTAACACTGTGTAGCCGACCCCACGTAGTGGGATAAAGGCTTGATGTTGTTGTTGTTGTTGTATAGATTATTCATGGTCGTTTGTTGAATAATTGCAGGTTCATAATGGTAAGTTGATAGTGAATGGTACCGTGAAGGATGAACGCTTCATTCTCGAGCCACCATCTTATGATATGACCCCAACAGTAAGACTAACATTGCTCCATTTTAGACTACATGGAGTTTTTTATTCAGCAATAGGAAAAAGTAGAAAGAAATAGGATAGGGTGTTGTTCTAACTTCTAAGAGCTATCTCAAATCTTTTTTTCTTCCATGAGTTTTCCCAATAAAGATGGTGATGTTTTATCATGATCATGAAGCACAAGAAAGTTTAAAATGTGGATGAATAAGTTTAGAGCGGGAGCTATACAGAGAAGAGAGAGAGGGGGAGGGAGAGAGAGAGAGGGGGGGAAGAGAAGAGAGAGCGAGCGCGCGTGCGAGAGAGAGAGAGAGAGAGAGAGAGAGAGAGGAGAGAGGGGGCATGAGCATTATCATCATTTCAGCAAGTTGCTTGAACAATTAGAATTGGTATGCTCGACTCCCCTACCAAATCTGTATTTTTTATCCCTCTACTTGATTTCTGAATCAGCAATGACATTTTCCTCCAAAAACATATATATATATATATATATATATATATATATATATATACTAACTTGCTAAGTCCTGTAATTGATCATTTCAGCAAGTTCCCGAGAACTCTGTGTTTGTAATGGGAGACAATCGTAACAATAGCTATGACTCACATGTGTGGTAATCATCGATCTCTTTACCTATTTAGAATTTTTACTTGAGGCTCCATTATCATCCTTCTGAATAAAAACTAAATGTTATCAGGGGACCTCTTCCAACCAAAAATATTTTAGGCAGATCTGTATTCCGCTACTGGCCACCAAAAAGATTTGGAAGCACAGTTATTGATCCCAGTTGTGAGAGCTTTGATGAGCCAAAGAGCAGTCCAGCGACAAATTAAGAGAAACAAAATGAAAATTTACTGTTTCCTCCAATTTTGTTTTTTTCAATTAAGTTTTCTGTGCACTGCCTCATAAGCTTTTGCCTTTGAGAAAGTTGGCAGTTTGAAGCAGAGAGCTTTCTCATCTGTAATTCTTATCGATGTATTTGGTAGATGTTTCTGAGCCTATCTTGTATTGGCTCTACAAATTATAGCCAATGTTATGGAGAAAAAATAGTTATAACAATAAGACATTTAAATCTTCAACATATTTAGAAAGTATAGCAGAAAATCGATTGCCATATGAGAAACTATTAGTAATAACAATAAGACATTTAAAAAATTCATAAAATATCACTATATATGGAAATAGTTAACTAAAATAAACAAGAAATGAAGTATTTTTAAATTTAATAAAGTTTAAACTCAATTAAAGAAGAAATAATTTCATGATATTTTAGATTGTTTGTTTGAAGATCTTAATAATATCAAGTTTTTATCCCACTATCAGGGATTGGTACATGAATCTTTTTTCTTTATTCATTGAGTTTTTTAATAAAATGGTATTTATTATAAAAATATATAAATTATAGCTAAATAAAAAAAAATTAAGTAGATATTAAATTTTCAAAGTAATATGTTAAAAAAATACAAAACAAAAAAAGAAAGATGTTAGGCTTTGAAATACGGTAATGTACTGTTATGACATCATTTCTGACTTAATTTGGCCATTGAATCAAAATTAAGGAGTTCTTTGTAAAATTCTTCAATTAAATTTACTAAGACATTATCTACTTCACGTTTGTAATTCAAATAATGTAAAAAATTTTACACGCTAAATTCCTTAATTTCTTGAAACAGTTACATTTTTTTTGGGAACCCACGGAGGGGTCTACATGTTAATATAAAAGGGAAAATACAAGATCCAAAGGGGGACCTTCAGCTCACTAATGTTCAAAGAGCTAAAAAATTAAATTAAAAAAAAATCTACGAGCCGAAAGTCCCCTAATACTCCAAAATACAAAATTGCCTAGATACAATTTAAGGTGGCAAAGAGCAATTGCCCAAAAAAGAAAGGTCCAAAAATAATCAATCAGCACAATCTTTCTGCAAAAAGAATCAACCACATCACCTAATTTCTCGAACCTCCAGAATTGTAAGAAGACAAAACTCCAACACAAAATGGTAATACAACAAAAAAGATTGGCAATAAAACAAATAATAAAATAAATTTTAACAGTAATCATTAATGTAGCCATATAAGCTAGTGCAAATGTAACAAAGAACAACAACCCTCTGAATGACACTATTGTTCTGACACCCATGATTAATCCATTTGATGAGCAACATATAATCATGAAAAAACTGAACACCAGCCACCAAATGCCACTCATAAACCAAAATATCAGTATAATGATTCACATGAATTCCATCCAGACAACAAGGAACAAAACTCCAAATATAAGGATTATGATGAGCATAACTACCACCCCAAGCCCAGGCGAAGGAATCACCCAGCAACAAACCTGATGGAGCCACAAAATAACTCAAATAATTAGACACCCCGAGAACCCCTATCAGCAACACCACTGACCTTAAACACCTAAGCTCATAACAATCAAAATAAGTGCAACCAATCTTGCAACTATCACCAACCCAAACCAAATAAACACTCCACCAAACGAGGCCTAACCAAATAAACAGATAAGGAGAGAAACATAGAAGCATCGAGAAATTGAGATCCTAATGATCCACGAACCCATAACAACCAACAGATCCCTAGAACAAAGTAACAGGGTGCCACATAACCAACATCCAAGTAAAAGCACCAACCATAAACAAACCAGAAGGCATAACAAAACAACACTAGAAGAAAACCTTCCAGAGAACCGAAAACTGCCACAATACCGAATTGAAAACCCAACTAACACAACCACCACAACTAGTGAAACTGAGCCAACAATTAACTCCAACCAACATCTAGCAAATACTAAAGAAAGTGAACTCAGGTCACCCAACCATAAAAACAAAAATACAGAAAGATGAAAGGTCAACAAAAAGCCTACAAGAACACATGATAGATGCACAAAATAGAAGAGTAGGAAGCACAGAAACATCAACCCCAAAGACAACCAAAAGCAGAAAATTAGCCAAAAACTATCAACCCATATTAATATAAGGTAAACCAATTTTGCCCAAATTAACCAAACCTCTCACCAAAGAAGGTAAACTCATGGCATCAAACTCCTAAAAATCATTAAGATGACAACTAAATTTGGCCAAACAATCAAGACAAGAGTTACCCTCTCGATAAATATGAGAAATAGAATAATGAAGGGTAGAGAGGGAATGCTTGATTCTTCAAATAATGTAGAAATTTTTAGTATGACTAGGCACCCCATTTTGAAGGATCTAAATTAACATCATAACATCCACCTCAATCAGCACATTCATAATCCCCATTATACTGCAAATATCAAGACAATGTGATAAACCCAACAGCTTAGCGGTAATGACCTTACAAGGATTTAATGGACCAGCATAAGGGCCTTTAACACTACAAAACTGATTACGAATATTGCCTGCCACACCGACAAAGGAGGACCCAATAGACACATCAGAATTAAGTTTAACACATGGAATGGAGGGTTTGATCCACCTCACAATCCTCTCAGTTTTATCTAACAGCGCATCCCCAATAGAAATGCCAAACTGTGAAGCCATATGTAATCAATTTTTAAAATTTTTAGCCATAATAAGTTTAAATGAATAAAATTTCAAAATCTTATTTTTTAACATTGGTAATTATTTGATTATCATCCATCTTAATCTCATTATGTTTGGAGTCATTTCTAGCCTTCAAAATATTACACATAATAAGGATCGACATTAAATTATAGATTTTGCCTTTAGAATTGATTAACCAACACTTTAAAATAGACAAGACATCACTATTATAATAAAAAATATCTTTGTTGGCCAACTAAAAAAAATTGTTCCAAACTTTATGAGCAATGTTACCATTAACAAAAACATGGTTAATATTTTCAATATTAAAATAACATTGACATTTAGAAGGAAAACTAAAACCTTTTCTTCACAGCAAAGTATCAACATGAAGAAAGCCCTTAATACATCTCCAAGTAAGAATGGAATAAGATAAGGGAATGTCGTTGTTCCAAATCGCTGAATATATGTGAGACTTCTTATAATTAACTCTAATAGCATCCCAAGCCTTTTTCAAATTAAACTTACCAGACACGGATATATTAAAGAGAATTTTATCTTTGCACTATAATTATAAAGGAATATTAAAAATATTATCAATTAAAACATAAGGTATCGTCTCCAAAAGTTTATAAACATTCCAAGAGCCATTATCAATAAAACTATGAACTTTAATATTCTGAAGAGTATGCGTGTTAAGAAAGCTGTCAATAAAATAAGGGCCCAACCAATTATCTTACTAGAAAAAAAATATTTACTTCTTCCAAACACCATTGAATAAATTGCTTCGCCTCCCATTTGATGTGGTAAAGCCTTTTCGTAACCAAAGAGTTGGAGCTTTTCTAATTATAAACAAGGGGATGATGCTCCTTGCAATATTTAACATTTATAAACTAAGCCCACATAATGATGTTAGAATAAAAAGAAAATCATAACTTATGAGAATGCCTGAACATTATCAAAGATATTCTTGCAACCTAAACCCCTTTGTTAAGAACCTCATAAACATTCTTCTACGAAGCCTAGTAAATGCAAGAACTATTATTCTTCGAACCCCAAAAGAACTTATTAAGCAATCTTCCAATCTAAGGCAAATTAATAAAGTGGATTGTAATGTATGAAGAATAAAAATAGGAATATAATTTAACACACTTTTAATCAGCACAAGCCTACCACCAAAAGAAAGAAAATTAGAATACCAATTCAAAAGTTTCCTTTGACAAGCAGTGAAAACATCATGAAAAAGTTGAGTCCTTTGTTTACCTTTGAATAGAGCAGTACCCATATATTTAATAGGCAACAAATTAGAATTAAAGCCACAAACCCTTTTGATAGCACTATGATTAAACGACTTAGCCACAATAAAATTACTTTTTTCCTTATTTATAGCCAAACCATCATCTCTTGAAACATAAAAAAAAATTGAATAAACTTTAATATTATTAATCGAGCCATTAAAAAAAATAATAAAATAATCAACAAGACTAAGATGAGTGAAAAGTAAATCACCAATAATATAAATGAGAAGTTTTGGATACCTTTTATATAATTCCTCAAGACCAGTACTAGAAAGATATTTCACAACGATAATAAAGAGAGCAGGAGACAAAGGGTCATCTTGCCTTAAACCTTGAGAAGATTTAAAAAAGTCTTGATTCCTATCGTTAATAATCATAGAAAGTAACAATGCTCAATAATGTTCTTAATAAGCAGAATGGAGTGACTAAACACAAATAAAGACAAAAAATATATATATAAAAAAACTAATTCAAATTATCATAAGCTTTAGTGATATCAAGTTTAAAAATGATATTGCTCAGTTTCACTTTAGCATTAATATCATGAGTGATCTCTTGGGCAAGGAGAACATTATCAAAAAGGCTCCTACCTTTCACAAGACCTGTTTGATTATAAGAAATAATTTTAGGCAAGATATTAACCAATTTACTTGAAATAATTTTAGAAATAAGTTTATTAAAAAAGGAGCAAAGACTAATCGGTCTAAAATCATTCCAATTATTGACTACCTCATTTTTAAGAATTAAAATAATATTAGTGAAAGAAAAAAATTTAGGGTAAGGGTTAACAACAAAGAAGTCTTTCACTGCCTCCAATACATCCAACTTAATGATATTCCCAAGTATTTAGAAAATAATTACTAGTCCATCTGGACCTGCAATGGAATCCCCATTCATATTATTAATAAAAGTCCAAACTTCAGCCTTAGAAGGAGATTGAGTAAGTAATTGATTCTTATAATCACTAATAATGTGAGGGATCACATAGGGATTAATAACAGGAAAATTATTAATGTTTTTGTTAAAAATATTTTTAAAATGATCAACACCCAAATTAAGGATTAACTCCTCAAGATCAAAAACCCTCCCATCGTTGTTTACAATTTTGTAAATGTGATTCCTAGTCCTTTTCTTATTTTCCATAACATGAAAATATTTGGTATTCCTATCCCCTCTAGAATGATTTATTAGTAGATTTTTTCCTCCAGAAAAATTCCTATTGATTTTGCAATTGGAAGAGATTCAC